GTTGCAATTTTTCAAAAGTAATTTTAATATTGTATATATTACAATAAAAAATCAAATTGTTGCCCCCTTCATAGTCGAAAAGGGTAAAATTTGTCTTATTCTGCTCTTTACCCTGCTTAAAAAATCTAAGGCACGGTGCACATTAGAGCGACGCGATACGATAGGCGATACGAAAGCGACATCTACATGCTGAGTACGTGGGAATTGGTAAGAAGCGACGAAAAAGGGCACACTTGCACGACAGCGACGCTGCGACGACATAATATCGCTTGCGTATCGGCCGTGCGACACAGTTTGCTATCACAGCGCATATGGTATCGCATGTCGTATCGCTCTAATGTGCACTGTGCCTAAGAGTCACACACTTCCAATAAGGCAGAGTCTAATCTTTCGCACTGCTTCTTCATACAAATGTTCATATTACGTACCACTGTATGTACAATATATTCAGTTTCATTGACTCCAAACAGTTGGACAGATAGTGCTAAACTCAACGAAAACTGCAATGGCAGTCATCGAACGCGAAACGCATCCGTAGCCAATGCAAGACCCTGCTGTGCCAAAGTTATGGCACAGATTTCTCCTTGGCTGACTTCCACTCCGCAAGACTGCCACGACATTACTTAGATCCATTACAACCCATTGCAGTTTTCGTAGCAGCATTTGAAATTCAATAGGTGGTTTTGCATAGCTAGTCAGTTGGAGAAACGAAAGCGATAGCCACCAACTTTCGTTATGAAGGCAGTAGCAATAACGATGTCTATCAAGCTCTTGGCGATGGAGTGGCTGTTTTGGATGGCTGGTTTGTTGGTTCATGGAACTGTTGCTATTGATGATGTTGCTCAACGATGCGCGATGAAAGATGAAATTTGGTCGTTACAGCTCGCAGAGGCCCTCATCATCCATACAAATATACATACTAAGCAGATGCGATTGCAAAAATTCATATTGACATTATTTGTGCTACATCGCTGGAAGAATTTCTAGTTATGAAAGCAGACTTAATGAAATCAACTCTGCAAATGGCCTCCGCCGCTTAAGGTGATTTCCCAAGCATGTATGCGTAACCGCGACAGCAAAGTTAGCGTCGGCTGTTGAGTCAAGCTGGATGCTTTGCGCATTTGCATGCTGACGGCCGTGGTCAGCGTGAGGCTGCTGGGCACGGCATCGAGTGACGCTTGGCTGCCCACACGGCAGCGGTGCTGCGACCGCTTGTAAATATGTGTTTTTGTGAATACAATGTTGCACTTTGGGGATCGCGATTAGTGCCATACTAACGTCAGTGAAGCCAGTACGTTATTGCAATGGAATGAAATAGCTAGCACGCAGTAACTGACGTTGGATTATATTGAAATATTGAAACTCAATTTAGTACACTCCGGTGCATACGCAACACACATACACACACAATGCACGCCATTGCTTCTTGACTCTCGAGCAAGTGGAAGCTGAACTGTGTGTGGCCCATCAGATGTCAAATCAAGCGTGCGCATGCGAAAGGGCGAACGTTACTGTAATGGTTTCCACGATGGATGAATGCATGAATGGTGTGCACGTGTGACACTCTTTTCAAATTCATGCACAATTTTAAAGTTCTCACAAAAGAAGTATGTAGTACGTATTCCGTGTGTTTGGTGTAAAATCGGTCATTTCACATGCAACTTTGGCTGTGGTTTCGCCACCATTGTCAACACATCGCTGTCAACTGGAACGCAGAGCTTCATGAATTTTGATTTCTGCCAACGGCTTCGTAGGCAAGCTGGTTTCAACTGCGGTTTTTTCAGTTACCCAGTCGACAGCTGTAAAAGCGATACGCTGCTAAACCAAATATTACGTGTGCTTCATATAAACGCTTTGCGGCGACAAACGTGTTAATAATAGACTTTTTTCTTTTTATTTCAAATCACTCATATGTATTTAATTGCAACGGAAAACAAGTAAAAAAGTCTAAGTTCGGGCGGAGCCGAGCATTAAATAGCCGGCGCCTTTCCGACAACTACCACCACTACGTGGTAAGCCGGGGGGTGTTTTACCCCTATTTAAAACATATTCGATAGAACGTTCAGTTAGACATTATTAGATAAACTTATATAGTCATATGTGGGCGGTATCACGCCCATTTTCCGAAATTCCAAATAATGTTACTTCTTTTCAAGAGATTGTTGTTGGTATCAATTTTGAGTAAATTAGCGTCTTTAAATATGAAACTTTAATCAATCAATTCTAGGGAAAAGCGTTTGCATCAACAAAAGCCAACGAACTGAACGAAAGAAGTAGTGAAGCTGAGTTCTAAGCAGTGTTGCCAAAATTGGCAAGTTTATTTCCATTTTGGTAGGTTGGTAGGCTAGATTGGATTTTGGTAGGTTTCGCGACAAAAATAGTTATTTGTGAAAAATAGAAAATATGTATCTGCAAACATTTTAGCAACCTTGAAAAGGGCTTGTCAATAAACCCACTTAAGTCCACCATGGTCGCATTTACCAAAAGAAGGAAAGTCAACTTGATGCGCACCTTGGTGTCATTACAGGCACTCCTCCCTTTGTCTATTCTAAAAGAAAAAGAGGCCTGCTAGAGTGCCCCTCGGCTGCCCAATACGTTCAGCATGAAAAGGTGGTTTCTCAAGTCGTTCCTGGATGATCCCGAGTTATCCTTCTGCAAACTCTACAAGGTCAGAATTCTGGAAAGGGACCGCTTTGAAGCCATAGTAACTATGATTGACGAAAGGTCACAATCCGACAAATTGAAAATGGACGGCGGGAGTACTGTGGCAGGCATACTTGGACCAAGATTCCAAGAAAGTCTGCCCATGGGCACATACCCAACGATATTTCAGGCGGAAGTCTTCGCAATTGAAGTCTGTGTTCCCGAATGCCTTCGTAGAAGAGCAAACAATTAATATTACGTTGGATAGTCAGGCAGCATTAAATGCCTTAGATGATCTTTTAGCATAACGCTGTGTTGGGATACGGGACATAAAGGGTTTGAAGGCAACGAAAGGGCTGACTTGACATTGAAACAAATTAAAAAAAAAACCAAACAATTTTTAGTAGGTTTAGTTGCTTTTATTAGGAAAAAAAATTTGTCCGTGGCAACACTGGTTCTAAGAATATTCACGAATTTCAAAATATGTATATATATATATACATATATATGTGTGTATGTACATACATACTTACATAACAAAAGGGGAGTGTATAATAAGAGTTCAACAAAACTTATTCGTCTACCTTTTCATGTGAAAATCGTATGTACTTATGTATGCATGTACATTAGGGTGGTCCTTAAAAAAATCAAATGAACGCTTTTATTCAGTCTCACTTCCACAATCGGTAATACCACGCTCACAGATAGCACAAATACATTTTGGTTCCGATTAGAGACGGTTGAGGTGTGTCGGATAGGGGACAAAGTACCAATTCCTCTATACCCAAAATCGATACTACCATAGTCGAAGATATCACATATATGTATGTAAGTTTTGGTCCCAACTGGAGTCAGTTATGACGTGTTCATAGGGTAATCTGACCCCTGTGCGACACGCCTTAACCGACTTCAAGCGGGACCAAAATGTATATGTGATAACTTCGACTACAGTAGCATCGACGTAGGGGTTGAGGCTTAGGAAATGTGATGAACAAACTTGCTTCCTACATTTAAGGACTACCCTACTATATATAGATCGCCGCTTATCTTTTAGACAAAAACGTGGGAAAATTACATATAAATTTAACATTAGAAACATAAAAGGAAAAATACCACCGTAGACTGGTAATGATTTCTTAATTTTTTGTATTTGGAGTGACATCATTATGCTGAGACTTACGCCGATTTCGTTTCTACCGAAAAATGCAACCTTCTCTTTGCCCTCTACGCACAAACACTAAGAAAAGGGCGATGAGAAGGCCACATTTTTTGTAGAAACGAATATATATATATATACAAGTGAGTAAGAATTAACGCAACGTAACTTATACTAAGTTTGCATACAAGTAGATTATCCTCATTTTCGAGCTTAACTCCCTAATCTGTAATTAGATGAGCCATGTAAAATCTTTCGTTAATCTGTAATTACAAAATAATCTCAGATTAAACCGATAACTTTGCGATGTCCAACTGAGTTTTATCGATTATTTTTGGGAAGAAGAGGAGAAATGTCAAATGTAAAAGGAAACAAAATTGCACCCCAGCGATGAAAGATTGTACAATTTTTGAAGTGCAATTAGGCGGGGAATAGTGTAACGTACTTTTAACATAAAACACAAATAAAAATACTATAGGATTATTGACCAAATGAATTCATATCGTTTTAACAAACAAGAATGAATATGAGCAACTTTGAACAGTGTTTTTTCTTATATATGTACATAAGTAAGTTCAAATCGTCGTTTAAAGTACAAAACCGCGTATGTGGTGATGCATAAATTATTTTGTTCAGAGTAAAAACAATCATATTCCAAAATGTTTCTCTCTTTTATAAAGCAATCGCATTTCCGGCTAGTATATTTCAGGACGAATGGATAAGGCCTGAGCCAAGAGCTTCGGTGAGCAAATCCAATTTTTGGCAGCAGAATAGCGATACGCGGTTTTGTACTTTAAACGACGATATGTGAGTAATCCGGCTTTTGAAAAAAAACAAATATTGAAAGTAGTTAGGGCCTTTCTATACTAACAAAATAGTACATAAAATAGTACAAACAAGTTAACTTTTGTAATATATACATACATACATACCTCTACTATTTCTACTATACTATATTTCATTCGTAATAAAAATATTTTCTTAAGTCACAGTATCCTCCCTATTGTCCTTGCAAATAATAACTAACGCAAAGGAACTTAATTTAAAAGAATTTTTACTGTTCAAAAAGATTCTATTCTGCTCCCGAATTAAAAAAATTACTTAAATTGAAATGCATCATTTAATTTATTCAATAGGAAGATCAGTAAGTTAATTTTTGACATTTTATTTAATGTGCAATAATTTATTTGTTTCCTTATAGGCGCCTGTAACATTGTGCAACCTCGGGGTGGGCGCTACATTCGGTGAATCCATATTGCATGATCTTCCGCGGGACAGCACTGTCGTCACAAAAACCACCTGCGAACTGCTTCGCGTGGAGCAACAGGATTTTCGTCTCATCTGGGAGGTAAGTGAAATAAATATCACACATTTTATTCTACTGGCATTTTGTGAAGATTCCCAAATGCCAGTTTTAATGATGTATGTACGTACGTACATATGAGCCATTTATTTTGAAAGTGGCATAAGTGCCTTTGTTTTTAAATCGATATATCGAGCCCTAACCGCCAAAATAACGTAAGCGAAATTTTTTTCAAAATTTTCTTTTTGATGCAGAAATATTCCTAGAGCATCTAGATGCATTTCTGCATCAAAAAGAAAATTTTGAAAAAAATGTCGCTTACGTTATTTTGGCGGTTAGGGCTCGATATGTTAGGGTTTGTTTAGTACTTTTAGAAATATTGATGCCAACCTTCGAAACGATTTACTTGTATTTGTTTATGTAGGATACCAATATTTTTTGCAGTATAAGTAATTTCGTATAGTCACGGAAAAAGCACCAATTTTTATTACGGTAAAGTGACTTATGCCACTTTCAAAATAAATAGTTTAGAAAAATTACTCACTTAGGGCAATTTAATCCAATGCATTTTACTGAAGTGATGTTATAAAATGGCAGTAATTTACTAAAATTTCTGAATAAATTAAATATGTAGATATGTATTTATATAATAGTCTTATAATCTCATTACTTTAAACGAGCAATTCCTGTATATACATATGTATGTATAAACATAAATGGGACGTTTCACATCAACCAACCCAGAGCTCTATCCAAAATTCTAAGCAACTAAAGTAAACATATAATAAGTCAAAATACTCGTAAGCTTATACCCTTTCGATTGCAAAGTGGTAGAATCTAAAATTCAAAATGGCGTCATTACTGTGCAAAACTGTTGGGTACGGTGACCATCCGTCCTTTATTTTAACCCCCTATCCTTTATATATATATTTTTTTTTTCAAAATGTGGTAGAATCTAAAATTCAAAATGGTGGTAGAATCTAAAATTCAAAATGGCGTCATTACTGTGCAAAACTGTTGGGTACGGTGACCATCCGTCCTTTATTTTAACCCCCTATCCTTTATATATNTTGTTGGGATTGCTGGTTCTTTTCTGTATAGTAAAACATCTAATCCAGATAGAAATGTTAAGTAAATTCACAGACTTTCCTTAAAATATATGTTCTCCAAAAAGCAGTGTCTTTTCTTTGTCCTACCCGTGACGGAAGAAACAGCTCAGAATTTTCCAATATAAAATCAAGTTGGAATATTTTTCGTATTTGGTAATAACTCGTATATTAGTGAACTAGGTGTAGCTTTATCAAAATGTAGAATTGCTTAGTACTTTATATTTAAATTAAAAAAGAAAAACTATTTTTGCTGTACAAATGTCCCACCCGTGACGATGGAATACCCCATATATATTTTTTTTTTCAAAATAAAGGCCACCTTTTGTCATTTATTTCTTAAACTGTGCTTTAAACCGGCTCTGCATTTTTCGGAGAGAAATTTATAAACGCAGAATATGAAAAATAAAAAGGTCCCTTATAAAATATAATGAAAACTTTCGCCAGTTTGTTTTCGATAATCTTTGTATAATCTATAAAGCACAGGGAAAGTTGTGCCCTGGATCGTGTTGCACGCTGAATTTCCAGTTCCACTGAAAGAGAACAATAAACCCCCTGCTGCACAGTGGCTCAAAACTGGGATTCATTCACTTAATTTTCCACTTAGTTTGATTAATTTTTAATTTTTTTTTTATTAAAGCTTACAATACTTACAATACTTACTGAATTACTGAATTTTAATTTGATTATATTACATTTTTTAGTTCAAAATGCCGAAAAAGTAGCAATTTTGAAGAAAATGTATTCTCCTGTTCCAGTTAATAGATGTTACGTAACAAAAACTAGTTGAAAACAATTGTATGGTTCTCCCAAAACAAAAGAAATACACAAACAAATGTTGAAATGTTATAATAAAATATTCACCACAGTAAATTTTTTTTTTTTTTTGGTTTTCAGTAAAAAATTAGTTGAAAAATGAAGGCTCCGGTGGATTATGTGCATTGAATTCCAATGTTGAACCACTGTGTGCTGGCTTCGTCGTGCAGTATGAATTATGGTAAACGCATTTCGGTAGCAAAGGATGGCGAAGTCCTTGAAAAGGATTTGGCTTAATTTTTCGCTGCAGCAGGGGAAATTGTACAATTAAATAATATAATGAACTAGTAAATATTTGTTTTAAATTACGAAATGGGCAAGGTACTTTTATCATACGAGTTGTATTTCGAAAAAAAATTTCCTTTATTTTACGTTGGTTAATATGGTCACCGTAGTCATGACATATTATAATGTCTTTGGGATCGCTGACTACGAATCTTAAGTCCGATTTTCAAATTTTAAAATGGCGGATCCAATATGGCAGACGTATTTTTAACTATCTTCGGATCAGCTTTAGCGTAGTGCTTATTTTTAGGCGTTGTTAAATATGTATATTCTTCTAGCGAGTGTTGCTAATTGTTTATTCTTTGATATGATATCTACCGACGAGGTTGATGTCTAGACTAGGTTTTATAGAAACTTTTATTATAGCAAAGGCATCTGGACAAACAAGAAAGTAACAGGCTAACCTAATATTCGCGGCTTGCGTTTTGGTACGCACGCCGTCGAATTTGTTTTTTTGCGTCACCCGAAATTGGCTTGCGTGCGTTTGCATTTGATTTCATTGAGCGAAACGTCAAATCAAAATGTCACGCAGAACAAAAATTGGAAATTGAGTTAGCTTCATACGCACGCCGTTCAATTTCGGTTGGTCCCATACAAGTTGTATGCGCATGAGAAATTTTTGACAGTAAATTGGCGGCGTGCGTGAATATTAGGTTAGCCTGTAAGTTGATAGAAGCGTGGTAATTATTAACAATCAACACATATTCTTAGCCACTTGAAACTTAATAATAAAAAATTTTAAAGTTTTGGTGAAAAGTTGTTTGAAATGTGGAGTTATTGGCTTTTTATAATGAGCTATACTTTTATAAAAAAAAAATAATAATGAACATTAAGCAAACAAAAGAAAAATTGTCAAAAACTGGTCACTAAGTTAATTAGTCGACGTATGCACATATAATCATAAAGGGAGTTCACAAGGTGTTGTATACTGTCGTACTGTTGTATGTCATAAACTTTAAACGGCTAAAACTATATTTAAGGAATTCGCAAGCTAACATAAAAGTTTTATTATGAAATTTCACACAATTAAAAAATAGTTGGTGGTGATTTCAAGTCCTCTAAACATTTATTTAGCCGTTAAAAACTTTACAACATACAACAATACGACACGTACGACACCTTGTGAACCACCCAATAGTCTTATAACTACATTTAAATCTGTATTTTACTCAACAATTTCAGAAAATTCCTCGGTTTCCATTACAATTTTAACTACTGAAGTGTATTTTTTATCTACCGGGCTTAAGTGGTTGTCGGTCTTTTAATTGGTCTCTTTTCATTTTATCAAACGTTTTTTGAAGAACATGTAAACAAACATACAGTGACTCGCACAAGTATTCAGGTGTTATTTTTTTTTTTCAAGATTTATACAAAATTTAGGAAAATTCATCAAAATTTTGAGCTTTTTAATCTGAGTCTTTACAACACTTTTTTTGCATGCAGGTTTAAAGCCCATACCTGAAGTGCAAGTGTCAAGCGGCTGAAAAATCGCATTGATTTTTAATAATTTTTTCAAGTGCAATTTACAAAAACTGGCGTTGATTTTTATAAATTTTGTTGCGAACGGTCTCCCGCATTTTATTTTATAAGAAATGCATGCTCATATGGAACAAAGTGCAAAAATCCGTCAGCAAAAAAAAATATTAAAAATCAAAGCGATTTTTTAGACGCTTGAGACTAAAATTATATATGGGCTATAAAACTGCATACAAAAATATTGTAGATATGCAGGTTAAAAAGCTCGAAATTTTGATGAAAATTTGATAAATTTTCCTAAATTTTGCTTTGACAATATTTTTATAAAAATTACTTGAAAAATGTTGTGAATATTTAAAAATCAAAACACGTGAACACTTGTGTGAGTCACTGTATGTTTCTGTGTTGCATGTACATTCCTTTTTTCCAATTTCCTATTCCTACTTTCTGCACTGCAAAGCGAATTTCACTGGAATTGAAATCACTTTGATGCCCTCAGCGTAAATGCATTTTCGCGTGAATTCGTATTTCAATCAATCGAGTGTTTCCCTACCGCCCATTGTCTGCTCTGTCTGACGCTCCACTCCGTTAACATAATTAACGCAGACCGGATTTGCACTCGTGCACAAACAAACCAATCTTCTTTCTATTCATGGGCGGTAAAAAAATATAAAAATGGAGATGTAGATATCGTCGTTTAAAGTACAGAACCGCGCGTATCGTGGTTCTGCAAAACTTCGTAACTGAAATTTGTGCCGAAAATTGGATTTGCTCACCGGAAGCTGCTGGCATCAAGCCCTTGTCCATTCATACTAAAATCTCGATACTTAGATATAGGGAGAAGAGATAATTTGGGATAAAAGAAAGAACTGTTTTAAAATAAGACAAACTTTATCCTCTCCTATATAATTTGGGCAACTTACATACGAGTTTGCGCATTTTCTTGATAAGCGGTTTTGTACCTTAACCGACGATATGTACCTGCAAATGTGTATGTGTCTACACTAGGGTGGTCCAAAAATACTCGTGAAAAAGTAAAGTCGGAATTTTTATGCTCTCACCCCCTAGGATTGTTCTATACCGAAAAAATATAACCTAATTTTTTATTTTAAAATCAAAAAATTTTTGGGGTCGCTCAAAGCGCCAAAAGTTTTCCATGTTTTTGTATGGGGAAAAACAACTTTTCGTAGAAATGGTGTAGAATTCTTAAAAACCCTGAAAAATTCAATGGGAGCCAATAAAAAATCGTTGGTATTAAAACATGGTTAAATAAACCATTGGGTATTATTATTGAAAGTCTTCTGAAGATAAGCAGAGTTTTCCGATCGAAAAATATTGATTTTCAAGAATTCCATACCATTT